TTGATCATGATACAACGAATCTGAACTGATCAGTTACGAGAACGGATCCATGATCAGGCAGCCCTTTTTCATACAAGCGTGGACAGGACGACTGGCTCCCGGCTAGCTGGTTTTCAAAGTGGGCTTTGAAAAGCATATGCAATTACACCAACATTTATAACACCAACAAATTTTTGCACGGTTTTGCAATTTGGTACTTGAAAGATTGTTACGAGCTTATGTTGGGCGCTGATGATTAATTGAAACTAGCGCTACAACGTATAAACTGATGCACTCGCTGCTGCAATTGATCCGATAGTCTATTGATTACAAGCTGATCCTGGCCCGCCCCCCACCACCTGCCCGAGGCCTAGCTCCGCGCCTTTGAACGTTGTTGAGCGTGATCACGCAGCAGCCGCAGCGCGCCGCAGCGCGCCGCATCGAGCGTTCCGACACGCGTACGGTTAGGGAATCGAAATCAAAATGCGGATCCAAATCCCCAGCTGGGCAGCAACAACGTCAAAACATCATGAGCTTGAAGGGTTGGTCGAATATCCAATTTTTGAGGCAGGAGATTGGGGGTCCCCTAAAAGTACATCCTCATTTGCCCTTGGCGTTAAGTTGTACATAAATTCATGTTGATCTGCAACAACGTCAAAACATCATGAATCATGAGCTTGAAGGGTTGATCGAATATCCAATTTTTGAGGCAGGAGATAGGGGGTCCCATAAAAGTACATCCTCATTTCCCCTTAATAAGCTTGGCGTTAAGTTGTACCTGTGCATTCATGTTGATCTGATGCCGGTTCAAGGAAAACTGGGGTCCCCTCAAAGCAAATACGTACATGCGTCCATCTAATAGTCATGTGTGACATTGCATGATCATGATTGATGTGATGCATTTTTTGGGAGTAGGCTTATAGCGGCATGCGCACGCGTGGCAATTGATTTTAATAAACCGGATTTTCCTCGATCCATGCCATGATCACATGCTTGGGCCAGATTTCGCAGGGGCCGCCTGATCATGATCCCCCTTATTAAATTCAATATTGAATTGAGGGAGGGCGCTTTATAAGTTCCATGCAAGTTGCTTCCCGAGCAGCCTAGGCAAGCCCGAAATCGCGCTTCCTGAAGAAGATGAGCAAGAGCTATATCACGAACCACGCGAGGGACTTCATCAAGTGCTGCGAGATGCCAGTGGATTCCTTCTTGCACTTAGCCATGTACATACGCAATTAACCTTTTCAGCTAGCGCATGCGTGCTTGGGCTCAAATATTTGTTCTCGCATCCAGCCGCCCTTGCAAACCTCCGGTGGAGGTAGAACTGCCGGTCCTGACTGGGGCCATGGACGACGATGGTTGCCCCTGCATGGAGGTGAGAAAGTTCCCGCTCCTTGAGCCGCACTCGGTGTTGCGATTTGTGCATGATGTGGCCAAGCTGCGCACACCGCGCCGGCATGTGCAGTTTTACTGGAAGTGGGCGCGCCAGCATGGCCAGGGTTGGGCGCTCAACCGCCCGCCTCTGGCAACAGATGACACAATCCCGGTGGGGATCTATGCAGATGAGGCGCAGTATGGCCTCAGCAATGCCGACAAAGTGTTCGGCATTTTCCTGAACCTGCCCTTGTTCAGACCGCGCTCGATTCGGATGAGCAGATGGTGCATCTTCGCGATCCGCTCTGATTTCCTGGCCGGGTGCCAAACCATCTACCCGGCTCTTGCGCAGATCGTCAAGTCAATGAGCCTGGCGATGCTGTCTCAGGACAGTGACGGCGGGGTGCTCACCACGGATGGCGCTAACTTCATGGTGACCGAATTGCGCGGCGACCTTGCGTTGCACAAGTTCATGTGGACGGGGCTGGTCTGCTCACAGCTCATGCTTCTTTTGCGGAGCTCAGGCTGTGGGCGACTCCTGCACCTTCGATGAGATTGGGCCTGCCGCTAGCTGGATTCCCACGAGGTTCACGCACACGCAGACCTGGGTGGAGCAAACCATGTCCGCTGACATGTTGCGAGCCTCGCTTGCACATATAGCGCTAGCTTGTAGCTTTAAATTGCAGCAGTGCATGGCGCATCGCGCAACGTTGCGCGATGGCTTGGCCGGATCGTGCGTGATTCTAGGCCCAGAAATCGCTGAATCCCTCATGATCAGAAAAAAGGTTAACTCAAAGGGTCCAGGTATTTGTTCGCTCGCTTGCCTAGGCCCCTTGCTGCTGCTCCCGGGCTTCGATGTGTGTGTGCGCACTTGCAGGTTGGACTTGGTCGAATGCGTCGTCTTCGGCGACCCCAGCGGCCATGCAGATTTGCTTCTGGGCCAAGCCTATGCCACTTTGACTGAATCACTGCTGCGTGTGGCCAGTAGTACGTGCAAGTTGGCGCGTGGCTGCATCTAGGCTGACTTCCAGCACTGGCTCAAGGACATGAAGATCGTTTGCAGCCAAAGGCGCTTCACGTACTCCATGGTGCCTTGATCATATTTAAGCGCAGCTGTGTTGTAAGTCGATGATGTGTATGCAGCCACGCAATCTTGCGAGGTCTGCAAAACCAGGGGAGAAGCGCTGATGTCTTGCAAAGCCTTCAACGGCCGCATCGTGTGCGAGTACGGGGCGCACGCAAGCCGGGTGGCAGCTGGCCTTGAGCCAGCACGTCGCGCTTTGCTGCGGCCTGCCGAGGAGCGCGGTGTCCCAGCCATGCCGCTGTTTGTGCTGTGTGTCCAGCCTGTAGGACGCTCTGCAGCAGCAGCACATGTTGCCCGTGGTAGCAGCCTGCACGACCCTTGGCAGCAGTTTGGGCCTCATGCGGCAAGCTGCTGGCAGTCTTGGGCCTTCTGATCAGGACTGCGATGGCTCGCTGCTTTGGACTGCTTGAGCGGCTGACTGCGACGTCGGCGTCAAACTTTAAAATTATGTGGGCACAACTTCTCCGTGCATGTGTCTCAGCCAAGGACATGTGAGCAGCGTGCCCAGATTCAGGAGGCGGGTGAGCAGTACCTGGCCCTGCACAAGCAGCTCTTCCTCCGATCTGTGAGGCAGGGTACGCGCCCGGTTTTGAGTGGGGGGCCAAGCTCTGTGGCTGGGCAGGCAAGGCAAGCTTCGCTGGTCGCTGAAGCCGAAGTTTCACACTCTCGCGGAGCAGCTGCTCATAATGCAGGAAAGTGGTTTTAATCCCAGGTATCACCACTGCTATCAAGATGAGGATAGCATGCGATGGCTGGCGACCGTCTGCCGCAGTGTGAGTCATGTGACTTCACGCTTTGAGCGCAATGTGCTGCTCAAGAGCCGAGTGCGGCTGGCTCATGCAGTGAAGCTGGCCAAGAGCTTCCGCGCAACAGCCGCCCGCCGCAACGCGACGGATCGAGTGTGGAGCAAGTAAAAGTGCTGCTGTGCTAATATGGGCGGGGGACTTGGCATTTTGACAAAAGGCCTAGTTACTCGGCACTAGAACATCAAAAGACAACTGTCATAGTAACTTGGCATGTTCAACTCGGCCCTCGTAACTTGGCCTTTTGGAAGCACTGGGATTACATTACATTTCATTTCATTTCATTACATTACATACATTCATTACATACATTCATTACATACGTTCATACATACATACATTACATACATACACACATACATTCATACAGACCATACATGACATACATACATACATTACATTACATTACATACATTATATACATACATACATACATACATACATACATACATACATACAGACATACATACATACATTACATTACATTACATTACATTACATTACATTACATTACATTACATTACATTACATTACATTACATTACATACGTACGTACATACATACATAAAAACATACATTTCATACATACATTACATTACATTACATTACATTACATTACATTACATTACATTACGTTACGTTACGTTACATTACATTACATTACATACATAAAAACATACATTACATTACATACATACATGGCCATAGGTCAAAAGCCCGTACCCCCACTGAACATCCCAATCCCCACTAACGTACACTAAAATCGACTAAAATGGGTGGTGCACCTACCACAAAATGGTACCATTGGTTTTGACCCACAGCCACATACATACATACCATACCATACCATACCATGCCATGCCATGCCATACCATACCGTACCATACATACAAACATACATTACGTACATACATTACATACATACATTACATACATACACACATACATACATTACATACTTTACATACATTACATACATTACATACATTGCATACATTACATACATTACATACATGACATACAAACATACATTACATACATACATACTGTACAAGCATACATGCATTACATACATACATAGCCGAACCGGATGGCCCACTTGAACCTGTTGAAGCAGTTGGCCCGGTTGAACCAGTTGACCTCAACTGGCTCAACCGGGCCAACTGGTTCAACCGGTTCAACTGGTCCGAGGATTTAGTGCGCCCCCCCTGCTGACTCAATGAACATCTTCGACTACTAATCCTTCCATATCTCTTCCATGCTTCCGTATCTTTTCCATGCACATAGTATAAACCTACAAATTTGGAATGCCACACCGAATATATGGCTTTTAGCACGATGCCCATACAATATGTTTGGGAATATAGAATAACCAATGTATATCTAACTTCAGAAATATGCTCGCCAAAAAATACCGTTCCTTGCAATGATCTGTGGTTTTTGTTCTGGATCGTTGTCTTAGCTTGGGCCCGAGAGCGAATGCCAATGGCCTCACAATCATGAATTTGTCTCCCTTGCCTTGCTTGCAGTAAGCAGTCAAGACACATTGAAATAGCACAACGTTGACTGCAAGCAATGTGTCACTACGTGCTCTTGGCACTGCGCTGTGAAACCTTCAGGCGTGCGTGATTTCAGCACATCTCTGAAATGGAGAAAACATGTGACGCAACAAAGACCAAAACAAGCACTCCGATCCCCAAAACGAAACACCGCGAGGCACAATTTGTAAACGTTCGCTTGCGCTTGGGATGCAATTTCGTTCGCCAACACTTAACAACACATTGTTCGTGCAAACTGACGTTTCACACAGATTGCACAAGTGTACTCGGATGCTGCGTGAAAGGCATCTAAGATGTTGCGAGTCCAGGAGCCGAATTATCAGCGAAGTGTGCCTGCCTGACCCTTGCTTTCGTGTGAAACTTTCCTAACTTTCCTAAACATTGCACGAAGAATAGGTCAGCTCGACGCAACTTCGACCAAATACAGTGGAATGGCCTGGAAGTCGCGAAATACACAAAAGGCCTGGCCAACATCTGGCACACAATGCTTGTAAGTTCGCATGTCTCATTGCATTCAAGCCCAAGATAGCCCAGCATCTTGCCTTCGGATTGGCAGGGTCATCCACAGTTGAGTCGAAGCGGGTGCCTGGGAAGCAATGCGCCTAAGCCCGAAATTCTCTTTTAATTCATTTCGAACTGGGCGCCCCAGCCAGCGTCCAGCGCAGGTGGCTCCACCAATCCTTCTGCGCCTCGACAGTATCGGCCAGGGAGCACTCCTCGGCTTCGGCACTTCGAACATGTCCTTACAAAGCTCTGGCGCGCCTGCCAGGAATATGGCACGTGGCTGGGTGCGCCCACAGAATCTTAAAGCGAAGGCAGGCTCTTCTGCAAAGTAGCTGCCTTGTCGGTGGCTATGCGGTGCTTGCATGCAAAGTGACAGCTGAAGCTGCTTTTTGGCCTTGAGGGCCTTCTTCTTTTCTGCCTTTGTCCCTCCCTAATTTTGGGAGGAGACAAGGCGCATGACGAGCAAACATTGCACATAAGCGGCAGTTCTTCCGAGCGCAACTCTGTTTTTATGCCTCTCAGGATTGCTACCAGGCGCAGCCCCTGCAACTTGACAGAAGGCAAAGCTAGGCCAAGCGCAAATGGCCTACGCATGCCAAGCAAAGCGAGCATTGTGCATCATTGTGCTCTTGCCAGCTCCACTCAAGGCAGGGGATAGCCAAAATTCACAAAGTCTGCGGCATAGTATGTTCGAATATAAGCCAACGTGGTATTGCTGAGGTCGTGTCTTGTGAACTGCCGCTTTCTGCCTTGATTTGAGTGCCGCCATTTTCCCAGGGTGATGTTGTACAAACTTAGCACGTGCCGCAAATCAGCCTCCAGATTTTCAAATCGGAGAACGTGCTGGGTGACTGAAGGGTCCGGATCCAAATAATCGGTCATGGGGATGAAATGACCGCCTGGTGTCGATGCTTTTCTCAGTCGTTCCTGCAGCCAGTCGTTGAAGTCCACAGGTGTGTGGTACCGGCTTTGCATCCAATTCACGCCTTCGAAGCCACAATGATACTCCGAAACAAAACGTTCTACTGGATCCCTGGCCACCAGAAAATAATCATACTTTTGGCGTTTCTTCGCTGGAAACTGCCTGAAAGGGCTGTGTTGATAGCCATATTCCTTGCGATCGTGTACGCCCCACTTCACATGCTCAGGCAATGCTATCCCCACATCTTCAATTGTGGTGCCCGCTGTCTTGCTGATGTGAATGAACTTCAGCCCTTCGGGGCCAGGATGCCGCACTCGAGCCTCTGCATCCACTAAATTCGGGGACACTCTGCTCGGAGCTGTCGGAGCTGTCGGAGCTGTCGGAGCTGTCGGAGCTGTCGGAGCTGTCGGAGCTGTCGGAGCTGTCGGAGCTGTCGGAGCTGTGGTGGACACTGTCACCACCTCTGCCAAGGCTCCCGCAGAACCCGCGAAACCCTCTGAAACTGCAGCAGAAGAATTCGGCGTGGCGCTGCTTGTTAAGATTGAGGAATCTTGCCTTTCTAGTGCATCTGGAATCTGAGCCTTCTTGACCATGCGAAATTCTGGGTTGGCGTTGTACACGATGACTGTCAGTACTCCAGAGAAGTACGCCATAAGAAGCTGAAGCAACGCCCACAGCCTGCTACTCTTGCGAGTCCTCATTGCAAGTAAGGGCAGTGAAGCCTTCACAAAATATCTGCAGGAAAGATGCCATGAGATATCTCACACGGCACCGCGCCCATTGCTTGAGTATGCCAGCTTGGCTAGACTCGACATGGTCCATCTGCATTGCCTATGCATGGTCATGCAAATGAAGCACACAACCACTGACAGGACTTTCATGACTGTGCCTGTGCAATTGCAAGGCCTGTGTTCAAACAGCTCGAGCCAATCAAATTGCACAAGCCAACAGGCTAGGCAAGAACAAGCGGATGTGAACCGTCACCTCTGGCCAAATACTGTGGCAAGCCTGCCTCGGCCCAGCTTGGAACCATGCCGCCCTGCATACGCCCGGTTGAAGCCATTCTGAGCGATATTGGCCACAGAGTCCCAAGGAGTACCTGCACCAAACAATCCGCACTACGTTCTTATCTCGCGCTGTTGGCCGAGGCACCATGCCATAGCAGCCGCTCTGGTCCCAAGGTGCGACTGACGCTGTTGTAAGCAGCTGCCGCGGCCCCGCTGCACTCCACCCTGAAGACTGACAGGATTCTCCATGTCGGAAGGCCTCCTGTCAACACAAGTTGGAGAATGAGAATCCCCCTGGCAACACTCTGAGAATAAACGCGGGCTTCATTTCTGAACTCTGTTTTCTTTGGGACACATATTGAATTCCGATCAGAAGGACTCCTGTCAGCCAGCACCGTACCGCTTCCAGGTCAGATTGGCCAGACACTTCAGCTGAAAATGGTGAGGCACGAGGAACGTCCGACAAGCAGCCCCGAACCTGCAAATTGCGAATCATCGCTTGCACATCCAAGGTGCGTTGGGATGTCAAGGCATTCTGTGAAACCAGGAACTTCGTCATGGAGATGGAGCCGCTTGGCCTCTGATTGGCTCCTCTGGGTGTAATGTCCACCCTGCTCGTCCCCAGTGACAATCGCTTGCTTCGGGATTGCATGCCCCCACGGTCACGAGTGGCTGTGCCTGGAGACTTGTCGGCAGCTTCAGCAGCACGACATTGTGCCCGATCCTGTGCACTTGCTGCACTCGTGCTGAAGGCCTTTGCTGGTTTTGTGCTCGGCTGCTTCATTTCCAGAAGCTGTGCTTTGCGTCGAATGATTTCTCGACGGTCCCGGGCTCTCTCCAGCCTATCTCGAGATTCCTCGAAAGCCCGGCGCGTCTGACATCCACGCCAACGGCTCTGCAAAGCAACTGCTGCCTCGTGCTGCACTTGGGAGTACCGCAGCATGCCATTCACTAGTCTTGTTCGCGCAGTGCTTCTGCGGTTCCAGCATAGCAACATCTTTATTGCATGCCTCTTGCGCCACAGCCGGTCGCGCAGCAGCCTCTGCTTCCAAGCTAGTTGAATGCTTCTTGCCGCGGATTGCACATTCCACCTCATGCGCATCACCTTCACCATGTGCCAGCCCCGTTGCAAAACGCAAGCGGCTTTATCCAAGACCAGCATACGGACAGCCGATTGCCTCCAAAGTTTCCTGATCTGCTGAAGCCGGAGTTTTCTGGCATGTGCCGCCCTCCACCAGCGCTGAAGGTAGACCACCGCGTCCCGCAATGCCCGGAAGCCCATGGGCCCAGAAATGCTGAAGTTCCTGAACCACCACATCTGGAAAGCCCGCTGAATTCTACTGGCAGCACAATGGGCCAACATCTTGTGAGTGGGGGACAGCCCCGCCTCCGTCGAAGCCCACGAAGGCAACGCTCCAAACGGAGCAGGTATGGGTGTGGCAACTCGCACGGCATGGCCTTCTCTTGCGCTCAATGGCGATGCTTCTCTGGGGGAGCTCTGGGGTGCAGCCGCCAAAGGTCGTCTGGGCGAACTGGGCATAGCTCTGGCTGCTTGTGTAAAGCCCTGAGCATGTGCTTGGGCTGCTTGGGCTGCTTGGGCTGCTGGGGCTGCTGGGGCTGCTGGGGCTGGCGCTGAAACTGGAAGTCGCGCGAGGGCCGAAGATGATACTGCTGGAGGCACAAAGGGCGGAGGTGGTCCCGGAGGTCGTGCCGGAACAAAAGCACGGGAACTGGACATTGCCTCTCGGCTGCGTGTGTCCACCATCGATTTGCGGGTCATATGATGTAGTGTGGGCCGAGGCAATCGCTCTGGAGACAACGATGAAGGTCGGTCCGACACTGATTGCCTGCGGGGTGACGGGATTCTGGCGGAAGGAGTAAATTGCCGCCTTGGACTGTGGAGAAGCTCCGGCTGAGTGCGGTTGCCGCGGGGTTGGTCTTTGCTTCGCTCATTTCGGTCATCCTTTTTCACATCCTTTCTTTCATTCTTAATCTTTGGTTGGGTTGACACGGCCCCCAACTGGCGATTCTCAGGCGGTAGGTGTGCAGCAGCGCAAGTCCGGGACTGCGTATCCTCCAAAACCCTGCCTGGTAAGCGAGGCACCGCATTCATTGCAAATGTTGGCCCGCTTGGAGTAGTTCCTCCTCCTGGAGTGCTTGGTGCATTTGCGGCTGGCACGCTTGCGCTTGATCCGCTCGACTTGTGGGATGCACTTGTCTCATCCCCAGGGAGGGGCTTGCGCTCACTGAGTCTGAAGGCCTGGAAATGACTGGCCGCACAGGTGCGTGACTTGGTGCTGGCAAGGACCTGCCCAGGCAAGCGACTTTGCTTTGGCCGCGGCCGTGCAGTATCCTCAGGTCCATTGCTTGAGGGGCTCCTGGGCGTTAGGAGGCGCAATGACCTGCTTTGTTTGCTTGTTGCACTTGCTCCATCTGCTGGAAGTTGGAGCGGCAATGCTTGCATAGACTGACTGCCTCGCAAATTGGCACCCGATCCTTTAAACCTCACGTTGCCGGATTGGGCTGCACCAACCAAGGCATCAATTCACAACTATCCTGCATTTACAAATGGCACTCATGCAAGTTGCCACTTCTGTGCGGAACAAGCGGCGTTGGAACACATCTAGTGCGTTGCGATTTGCTCAGCTGATCGATGAGCTGACATCGCTTCTCCTGCAAGCAGGGAAATGCAACATGCCCAGAACCGCAGATTGCTCGGAACTTTCCTGCCTGGCCATGCACCGTGCAAAGAAACAACTCTACAGTGTACTTGCGAGTTTGCCGGACCTCTGGTGACGGCCCCAGTGCGCTCGCCAGTGCATCAGCCAGCGTACCAGCCATTGCAACTACGGCGTCATAGCGCTTGGGATTGGCGGATGGCTTGTTGACCTGTCAAAAGCCATGATGCTTGCTGGGGTCTATGCCGGCTCGTCCGTTCCCTTTGAGCTGCGTAGTGCTTGCTGGCAATGAATCACACCTACCCTCACCTTGAAGAGTTTCATGCAGCACGTGCACCCTGCCAACCCGGGCACCTTGCATGTGGAGCCCTCTTGCAGGCTTCGGTGCATCTGAAGCACTCTTGAGTGGCTTCATCTCTGCCTATCATGGCTGGGCAAAATCTGGAAGGTGGGTCCAGCTGCCCATATTTTCTTATGGGGCCACGAGCAATCGACACGTGTGTCCCTCTTCGCACGTCGCAGCCGTCAGGTGAAACTTTCGCGGCATTGACGTTTGCGCGCGGGCGCTCAATCACGAGGTGCTGCAGCTTGACGACTTGCCCGTGCTCATTGGCACGGGCTGAGGTGCACTCGGCGGATCCAAGGGCTCCAGTGAGCACTCGTAGACATCCGAGTACCACTCCTGCAAATGCCAATGCGTGAGATCACATTCTACATCTGGATACCCTGAACCCGGCGCCTTGCGAGAAAATGCCAGTGCATTAATCAGCCGCTAGTTGTACAGTTTAATACTCGATCATTTTTCGTTGGTGACCTTGCTTGAAATTTTGGGTCTAACCCTATCAAATAAACAGGAGGGTGAGTTCCTCCTCTCTGTCGGTTCCCACAGCACATGAGCTCGCTCTCAGAGTCTCAAGACAAAACAGCCGAGACATGTACAAACACACATATGCAAAAATGCACACACTGACATACACATGTCAACCCAGCCTGGTGCACATACCTTGGCGACAGGCAACATATTATCAACAATGCAGCTGGTCCCGCGAGCCAACGTGAAGGCAAATACCCATCCCAAAACTTACATCCCACGCTGCCGGGCGCCACCGAAGACGTAAAATCGCCCACTGCCAGCGGCCTCTGCAACGGCCATGCCTGAGGGCGGCCCCAATTCTCAAAGGCCAAGCCACGAAATGCAATTGCACGGTGCGCAAGACAGCCTGCGCGCCCACATGGAAATTCACCACGTATCCAGCTTAGCCGATCCTTGCAAAACGACTGAGCAATATGAGCAAGAACAGGTGCCCCTCGGCGCAAGGTCCTGGACTTGCTCAAAGCTGGGCTCGTCCATTTTAGGCAGCCATTGCCTTAGATCTGCAAAGTTCTGCTTTGCAGTTTTTTCCATTGTCCCTGCGGTAACTGCCAAGCAACGCCTCGGGCGGAGTGAGAAGCTCGCCCTCGTCTGTTGCAGGCTGTGGCCGCTTTCTGCCGTCAGACACGACCTGTCACACGGACTGGCAAAATCCTTGCTTGTTTGTTTGTTCTCAGGGCTTCCAGCTTCCACATTCGAATTTTGCCAATCACATCGTACTGCGCCTGGATGCAACTCTCCGGATAGAATCTGGCCCTCCGGTCAGCCTCACTCTCGAAATGCAACTGCCCCTGACTACCTCACTCCTGCTGGTCACCATAGCAAGTGCTTACAACTTGAGTTGGCAGCTGCGTCAGGCGACATGACCTTGCGCAACACGTGCCAAGTAACGACGACGAAAGAATAAACCGCGACCTTGCAATGAAAGCTATGAACATATTGATTGCAGGCAAGGGCACCTTCACGTACCAACCGTGGGGCTCGCCATTGGGCAGCCTCAAAGATGTGCATGTGAGACAGCGAGACACATGCAACAACTCGATCCGCGCCTTTCAGGCCCGCTCACAACAGTTCCGAAGTGTGCCAGTTCAGCATCTTCAAAGTCTCTGACCTGACAGACACACACTCAGCAAATAGCATCAAAGCACCAAGCGGTGTAGGTGTAAACTGCCATCTGCAAAACAACAACGAGGATGTGTGAAACGAGCTTGCCAACGAGGCTCCACAACCTCCATCCCAACCTGGATTCGGTAGCCTCAGCAAACCGAACATGCACCTGAAAGGCGTGAGTGAGACATAACTGCAATTCCCGGCAAAAAACTATGGCGAGCTGACAACTAGTCTTGTATGCAACTGCGCGTATGGCGAACGAAAGCAACCAATAAGTGCCAATAAGTAAACTGGCAATTAGGGCAACAAGCTGGCAAATGCATGGCGGGGCTCGTACTGTTGCTTGTCCACATCCACTCGTCAACCAATCCGAATTGTAGCTAAGCTACGGCTATCCAGCAACATCCACCGGAGGCTTCGCACATTGAGAACTTCTGCCTCTTGTAGGCTAAGATATCCTTGGACTTGCCATCGAGGATTGCAATCAAGCCAGGCCCAACATGCAACACACATACATCTGCTTCTGCTGGATCAAATGAGTGTCGCCTCTGAGAGGGCTCATACCCGCCGAAAATCAATACCTTAACCGAAGGACTGTCAAGGCGAAGGATGAAAGTGCCATTTGCAAATTTGAACAGATATTGCGCTTCGCTGGTGCAAACTCACCCTTTCTGTGATGACGTTTGAACATTTGCAAACCAAACCCAACGCAGCGCTCAAACCAAGGGACGAGATTTCCTCCCAAATTCACCGCAGAATGCTGGAGCCGCGGCCTTAATTGCATCAGCCACTTGCCACCTGCAAACATGACATGCATGGTATATCACGGCATTGTTGTAGAAACCTAGCACGGATTGCACTGTGGGTGGCTCTTTCTTTCTTTCTTTCTTTCCTTCCTTCTTTCTGTTTCTGTGTGTCTATGTCTATTTATGATTTATTGTTTCTACGTTGTGTTGCTATTTTCCGCATCTTTGCTTCTACTTTGTTTCTTGTATTTCGTTCTTTGTGTCTTTCGCTCGACTTTGTTATTTATATGTCTTCCTTTCGAGTTTCTTTCTGTCTAGTTGTTTCTTTATATTCCTGTTTTTCATTTTTATTTCTGTCTGGTTTGTTCCTTCAATTTCTTTCTATTTCTTCTTTCATACCAATTTCTTTCTAGTCCTTGCTTTCTTTTCTTCCGCTCTCTTCCTCTTTCTCGCTGCAATCCTGTGCACGCGCATCGCTTTTTCTTCATAAAATGGCTGAGTATTCATGAGGTCAATCGGAGTGCAGCAAGACTCTGACACAAGCTGAGCGTCATAGGAAGAATCCCAGCTGTTTCCAGCTTGCTCCACTCGAAGGTGGATAGATTTAGCTGGTATGTAGTGGCATCCTTCGCAGCATCTAAGTGTCAGCTGTTTGGGAGTGCGACCCTGTCACTTTGCTGTCCGTAAGAAATCGCCCACCAGTCTTCCACTGCCCACCGCCAAAAAGGATGGCAAAACGATCATCGCCTTGGTAACAAAAACAAACTTTGCAAGCTGACAAGTATGCGCAAGTACTGCAGTACTGCAAGCCATAACAGCAGAGTCGCAATTGGTGAGTGTCCTCGGGTTGATCAAGGTTGAACCACATGTAAGCTTGCAATAGAACATCAAAAGAGCCGAACTCTGCAGGCAAGCTGCGAGGCAAACCTGGCTGGGGGACAGCTTCCTGAAGTGATCATTTCATCTGTGTGGACGACATCCTGTCCATGTGAAGCTTCAGTCACGGTGGGCAAACCAATTGATAGGCGTCAGTTGGCGCTGTCGGTCCTGATGAGCCCTTGAGCGATCCAGCCGCCACAAATCATTGAAATACTTGTCCCTGAGTCACCACTATGGGCAGTGCTCTCCCAGTCGCCCGAAAACCATTTGCATGCTGGGAATTAACTGCAACCAAGCAGCTTCAAGCTGCGACCACCCCACGCATACAGCGCGCCCAAGTGCTCAAATGAAGCCGCGAAGTATCGCGGGCTTGGCTGATGCTCTGAGCCTTGCGCCACGGTGTCCATCCTACAAACCTCACACGCAACCAGTGACCAGAGCGCTGAGAGCCGAGCTGTTTCGCATCGCTCGCCATTCCCAGGTTTCGATGTCTAGAGAAAAGGCAGTGTTGTAGGCCTGGCGCAGCTTTCTATTCACGGAATTTCTGCCTGCGCTTGCGTTTGCAGGTTACTCATGCTGCAAACCACGCTTCGAAGCCGGCCTGGCAATAGTAACCTCCGCACCAGAAAACCCAACGAGTGCCCAGCAGCGTGTGCGCTGACGCATAGGCATGAGCAACTGGCGGCTGTGCACCTGCTCGATATCGGATCGATCCCTTGCTGACTCACTGCTTGCCATTGCAGAAGCAACATATAGCAACATAACTTACTATCCTGCCGAGCCTGTCGTGACCTGATGTGACCATTGCTGGGAGGCAGTGTCGAAAATGTACACATGTGGCTGGTGCCACAGTACCTCCACCAAGGAAGACTGGGCGTTGGCCAGCTCGTAGCCTGAAATGACAGCTTACAGCTTGCAAAGCTCCACAGAGTTGCTCGGGATTCCCTGACCCAACACAAGGCGAATAAGGCAACAAAGCAAAAACCATACGCTGCACATGCCGAGGAGCTATAGCAGCCGCCGCCAACCACGCAAAGTCGACCATCGGGAAGCACAACGGCGGCTGCACACCACACCTTAGAGACAAGAAAGGGGAACCGGGAACCCGCCTTAAGACTGGAATTCGTGCTTAGGTGCGGATTTATTTTGGGATTTGCTTCGGATTGTGTTTTTTTCTCCGTTTTTCGTCCGGGACAGCAAAATGTCGTATTTTACAGCATTTTCTCGCGAAATTGACGCATTTTATACAAGCCCGTCAACATCCCCAGCATCGTTTTCAACATCCCCCGCATGTCCGACCAACATGGCTACTAGCATCACCAACAAATCGTGGTTAACAAAATCAAAAAAGTAGCTGGCGGGTTGACGGGGTCAAACAAAAATGATGATTGAACTAGGAGGGCATTTCAATCCCTGTAAAAAAAGTCTAAAAAGTAGCGGGGGGGTTGGGGGGGGGGGCGGCAGCTCCCCCCATGATGTTTGCAGAAATGATGATTCGAATAGGGGTGCAATCAAATCTCTGCAAAAAGTCTTAAAAGTAGCGGGGGGTTGGGGGGGGGGCGGCAGCCCCCCCATGATGTTCGAAGAGGTGATGATTCAACTAGGGGTGCAATTAGTTACATCTCTGAAGAAAATCTAAAACGTAGCGGGGGGGTGGGGGGGCTGCCCCCCCCCCATGATGTTCGAAGAACTGATGATTCAACCAGGGGTGCAACTAATTAAATCTCTGCAGAAAATCTAAAACGTAGCGGGGGGGGTTTGGGGGGCGGCAGCCCCCCCCCATGATGTCGGAAGAAGTGATGATTCAAGTAGGGGGTGCAATGATTCAAGAAAGGGTGCGATAGAATTTAAAAGGCAGCAGGAGGGTTGGCGGAGGTGGCTTCCCCTATGATGTTCGAAGAAGTGCATACATACAGACATACATGGATTACACAGAATAACCAAGATGCCGTATTTTGCAGCATTTTCTTGCGAAATTGGACGCTCGAAAAAGTGATGATTGAAATAGGGGTGCAACTCAATCTCTGCAAGAAATCCAAAAGTAGCGGGGGGGAGGCGGCAGCCCCCCCATGATGTTTGAAGAAGTGTTGATTCAAAAAGGGGTGCAATTACTCTGCGAACAATCTAAACAGCAGCGGGTGGGTTCGAGGGAGGCTTCCCCCCCATGATGTTCGAAGAAGTGATGATTCAAAAAAGGGAGGAATTGGTGACTGGGAAAGCAGAGAATATCTCAACCGCTCTCCGAAATCGACTTTTTTTTATCTCTCCTTTGCAAGTCGAGTCTGCGATGGGACAGGGAACTGGCGCAACCCAGCCAAGATGTTGATACCTCCAGTCCAAACCCATGCATGTTTGAAGGAGGCCTACATCAAGGCAGCTCACCGGAGAGAAGACACCCAGCTTTATCTCCCCCCGCCGTGTAGAGGGTGACACGCTAGTGATTCATCTTCTCTCTGATTTCCCCCCGTTTGCTCCAGCGCGCCAAACCGTGCTGGGGAGAAGATGGAGGGTTGGCGCAAGGTGCCGATCTCGGCCGATGTCCAGATACCACCCATCGCTTGTACCTCTGAAAAACACAGCCGCGAGGGTCCATCCGAGGGGCTCTTGGACTCTACGCGCAAACGTGAAACTAATAACCAGAATTCACCCACGATGGAGGAGCTATCAACTTGGGGCGGACCAGATTTGATGCGGCGCTGTCGTTGTCTATGAACATCAGAGCTGACTGGTCTTCCAGTCGGTGCTGCCACGTGTGGAAAGCAAATGGGGCGGCAAAAAGCTCTAGCTGGCCCATAAAGGATTTGTTAGGCAGCCAGTGTTGGACAATGGTGGAAGGGACCACCCAGGATGAGTAATGCAGAGAACAATCCCTGGGGTCCCACAGGACGGCTCCCAACACTCGTTGGGGACTTCGCTCAGGAAGCGTCAGTGTAAAGGGGCAGCGGGCTTTTGTGTTCCAACTTCAACTCTCGCGTGCCGAATTTCCGCAGTTTCTCCTTCACTTCAAACCCGGAAGTGGAGTAGCAACGGCCGACCTTCCCAAAGAGGGTGGAGCACAAGAAGCCGAACTTTCCTACTACACTGGCTGCCAACGCCGGCGAAAGACGGTTTGAGGACGGAATGCTGTCCAACACAGTCAGCAAGTTCGACACCCGGGAAGGCTTTGCGCACAGCTTAATGCAACGTGCTGCGGTGTTGAACATGATGCCCAGAATAGCACAAACTTCTGAAGGTGTTTGGCTTTTCTCCGGATCCAGACTGAAACCTAAAACCATGAAGGTTTCGCGCAGGCAAAAAATGGCTGACTGAATGGTGACTGCAGGCTCGATGACGAAAAACACATCGAACAAATGGTCTGCGAGCGAGTGATACAGCCGCTGGGTTGCGACCGCAATCCACTCGGAAACTCTACAAAAGTTTGGGACTGCGTGGCCTGCGCCGAAGGGCTGCCCAAACATCTCGCGCAAGTCGACCTGGTCGGTGGACAGATTGAAAACTCCGGTGATGGCGTACCGGACGTCTTCCGGCGCCAACGGGATTTGTCTGTAAGCAGACTTCATGTCCTCCGTCGCCATCCAGATGTCGGACGACTCGGCCGACAGAGCTCTTAACATCACACCGATATAGTCAACCATGGTCATCGGGACTTTCTGCATTCGGCTCGCAGACGGGTTGACCCCGGAGGCGGTGTGGTCATCGATGCGCCGATACCTTGGGCGCCCGTTGGAGTCTTGGCCCTGGGCCAGTCCAAAGCTAGGCGTGACCTGGAAATTCCCACCATACTTTGAGGAGACTTCCTCGTAAGTCATCGGTGGGCCCATTGTCCCTTCCTGCACTTCCTTCAGTCTGAGCCCCACTCTTCATCCAGTTGCAGGTCTGCGAAACGGACGCACAAAGGTTCCTCTCTCCCTTTGTGGATTTTTCCGGATCCAGAGGCCAGCTGGGTGAAGACGGCATGCATGTCCATGTCATGGAGCTCTGGGTCAACATCCGAAGCGTCTGAATCCATCATCGAGTCTACTTCGTTCAAGGATTCGCCTCCTCAGGGTGTGGGACATCTACTCCAACTCGCGACATGGCCTCGAGCTCGGACTCCAAAATGCTCTGCAGCAACTCCTCGTCATTCTCGCCCTCCCCTCTCAGGGACTCCGGGAGGTTCAGCACGAGCTCCACCGCGCCGCTCCTCAGGCGCCGTTCGCCAGCCGAGTTGGCTGTGCAAATCACTGCCTTTCTCATGGCTTCAACTACACGTTCACTACCCGGGCCCAAGGCGAGACTCCCATCACGTTGCATGGCTGAGACTGAAGCCCACTCTGGCTTCATGGGAATGTGGCTGAGCTCTCTGCCCTCTAGGGCTTGAATTGTCACCCCGCGCTGCAGCTGGTCAAGGACTTCCAACCTGTGCCTGCCGAACGCGGATCTGTCAGGGTGACAAAGGTCTCTTCCTTGATTACCCCCGCATCGACTACCATGTCAACCAGATCCATCTCCACGGACATCAGAACCAGATCTTCAAACAAGCAGCTTTCGGATCTCCAAGAGCCGGCTCCTTGTAGGCAAGGTTCGTGGGACATGTTGCTTACGCTCGCTTTCCGCCGCAGGATCGGCTGGCGGGCTGGCTTTCTTGACAAAAAGGTTGAAGACGCCGTCTGCAGAAAGGTCCCGCATTGCATCCTTTGGCTTCTGGCGGGGCCTTCGGGTCTTCTGCGGTAATGCTCCCTTCAACTGAGAGGTGAAGGATGTGACACCAAGCTTGGGGATAGTTGCCGGTTTGAGGAGCTGCTCGTCGAATACCCTTGCCCCAGAGCGGTCCTACAGCAGGGAGGTTCCTTCTTGGACCAGAGCCCCGTCACTGAACACAACGACCAGCAATGCTGGATTCACCATCGGTCCAACCCGGCGAGAGTCCCCCTCAGGACTCCCTAGGACATCTGGTGCCAGGAGAGGGGCCTCCCCCTCCTGGACTCTTGATGGCTCGAAGGATGTCTGCCGACGGGACTCCGTCCTCCAACATCCTTGCGATCTCCAAGTCTTGCTGACCATGCTCCCACGGCAAAGACTCCAGTGGTTCGGCCAAGCTTGGCCCTGCCCTGAGAGCCTGGGCTGAGGCCTCCCAATCAGGGCGCTTTGAGCTTGAGCGGCCCTCAGGGCGCCGGAAATCCCCTTAGCCAGAAAAGGCTGTGATGGGCCGCCCCCTACACGCAGGCGATCCACCTGCCCAAACTGGGACCGACATCTCCCCCCGATGAAAACAAAGGAGGGCGTCGATCTCAGAGGGCTTGAAGCCAAAATTGCCACATTTTGGCCCGCTTCAAGACATTCACCTTAGTACCCTCGGCACAATCTGTGGATGCAAAAAGCTAAAGCCGCCAAAAGCCGCAAAAGCCAAAATGCCACCTGCCGAAGAGGAACTGGGAATGCAGAGGATGCGAAAGGCCAAAGCCAAGAAGCCGAAAAGCCGAAAAGCCCAGAAGCCAAGAAGCCGAAAAGCCAAGAAGCCAAGAAGCCAAAAAACCAAGAAGCCAAAAGCGAGAAAGAAAAACAAAACTAAAACAATACCCCTCCTGCGTGCTTTCTACCTGCTGCTGAATTGCTATAACCCACTCCTGCTTCTCAAATTTCAGCTACATAATGCATGCTGACATGAAACAATGCATGCAGTTGCCTTCAACCCCATGTCAACTTCAGGTTTGTGACATTCATTGGTTGGATCCTGTGTTCAGATCCCGAAAGGACATGCTGTTGGCTTTGGGACTGGGGCTAGCCAGCCGGGCTAGCGTGCCTTGCATGAAACCGTCAAGACACAGCTGCTGACTCAAGGATTGCGCCCAGAGGCTGGCGGCGGTGCTTCGCCCGGTCCGGAAGTAGGAGGGAACTGCCTCGCCCGAAAGTCCCGGAGTTGTCGCATCCAGGACTCCAGGTTGGTTGCCTGCAAGAGTTCACGATCCACGTATATAAGGGCCTTTCACAAAGTTGGCTTGGCCAAAGTTGTGTTTCTGCATCTTGCCACCCTGAACTCCCTTTCTGGCTCCTCTTCCAGCTGCGAGTACAAGTCCATGGCCGGCTGGAAGCGGCGATGCAAGCACATCTGCAAACAACGGATCAGCATGTCCTGGTCCTCAAGCCATCGGTGCGTGTGCCACATCAACCCCACGACCTGCACAACATGGTCGCCATGCAAGGCTTCACCCATACCCTGCGCCAAGCAGCGCCCAACGTTTGCGAAGCTTGGGTTCTGTACCTAAGGCACGTCCCGCGAACAAATGCAAGCGACTGCAGTAAGCGGGTGAAGGCATGCTTGCTTCAGCCTGGATGCACTTGCAACGGCTCGTCAGGAGGCCAAACTTCTCCAAAGCGCTTGCCTTGTGAAGTCAGAGCATGCGAAGGAAATTCATCCAATCTGCACCCTCAGCCCTTGCTCTCCCCATCTCTCTTGCTACTTCCGAAAACTCTCACTTTGGCTTCGCTTGTTTGCGCAGAGCACTCTCGCCGTGCCAGGCCGCCATTGTGGTTTGGAGTGAGAAGCCGGCAATGCAAGTGGCGTGCAAATGGTAGAATCCTCACGAGAATCCAAAGCTAACTCGGGCATGCAATCCAGACTGGCAAAGAGTTGAGGGGAGGAACTTTCTCTCTCTCTCTCTCTCTCGCGCTCTTGTGCTAGTACTTTCATGTTTTTTCGAGGTCCCTATGCTCTCACAGCAATGGGCACTGGACTCCAGCAAATCTCCGACCAAGTCACGCGGCAGACAAGCTCAAACCGTACCATCCCGTCGAAACCTGCAGATCAAGCGAGCACAAAGGACCAGGGGACCAACATGACAAATCATGTGTGTTGATCCTTTGATAGTTTGAACAGTTTGAATGTTTGATCCCTATTGAATCTCTTGTTGATGCCCCCCGAGACCCCCCCCAAGGCCGCAGCAGTGGCAAGCACTCGCAATGTCTGGGAGGGCAGGCTCGTCGCCGCCCCGCATACGCAGCGAAGAATATGCAGCCTGGCTGGGCAAAATGGATCACAAGGCTCAGATGCTTGATGGATCTTGATGGGCCATGGGCGTTCATTGCAGTTTACGTTTACGTTCACTTGATTCACTTGCCCTAGCCAACAGGTAAGCCCAGTGGCATGCGATTGAGCACATTTTCCCAAAGCTCTAAGCATGTGGGAGGACAGTAGGCTGTTTCTGGGATGCAAGCTGGGCTGGGCAAGGTGTTGGAATGGGACCGATGTGCTTATGCTTGGCCTTTCATTCACGATGGACCGGCCAGTCTGATTCCTATTAGGGCTGCGCTCGTGAGAGTACAGTAGGGCGCAAGTAAGAACATGACACCATGAGAGGGAATGGAGGGCAACAAGCTGGGCAAAGCAACAGTGAGACAATGCCTCGTCTCTGGAGGGAGGCCATCCGCAGCATCCATGGAAAAGCGATTGCTTGGCTGCACGCTTTCAGCTTGAAGCTTCAGGCCTTGAGCACGTCTTGCTGGTGTGCTCGATGCTTGCTACAGCCATACATCAGCTGAACTCGCCAGTTCAAGGGGTTGAGCAGCTGCGAGTATGTAAAATCTTATGGCTTCTCAAGCCTCTTTGAAATGCAGGCGCTCATCAACTGACATCGTTATTGGCCTGGAGTACTGTCATTCAATCGGCCCTCGCCATCGACATGCTCGGTAATTCGCCAGCATGTGTTTGGCCCATGCCAACTCGATCGTGGGTCTATTCAAAACCTGTATGGAGTTTGCTGCTGTGTTGAGTCATGGTCTTCGAAAAGTGCTCTGTGCCATGTCCAGGCCAGGCCCCATGAATCAATACAGCCGGGCCTGCACCGACCGTGCAAAGGCAAGGCCATTGCACAGCCAACCTCTCGCGCACGTCTGGGACTTCCATCTGTCGATCACCACTATGACAACTTGTGCAAGAATGAGGAAGACACACACACATGCGCCCTGTACCTATAAACAAATCTTTGTGCGGTACAAGCGGGCCGCTCTAGTGGCTGGCGTGCTCGCCTGCAGCCATCAAGCAGCCTCTGCCAAAGATTATGCAGGCCTAAAAGTCAGGCCAAAAACCAAGCCGGTTGCAAAACAGTCCGTCTAAACAGGCCTTGCTTTGCGTCACAGGCCTTCAGCAAGTCTTGCGGATGCAAGCCCCGCGAGCAACGGAAGCTGCCAAGCAGCTGGAGTGCCCAGTGCGAAGCTTTGTTTGATCCGACTTGCTAGACCTTAAAACCATGGCGAGGCAAAGCCGGCTGATGACTGATCTGTCACGCCAAGGCTTTTGCTCATGAAAGTCAATGTAAACGTGCACCGGCAGTGTGCGTGGACGTCATCTTCAGAAAATCTTGAATTCAGACACCTTGCCCAGCTCAAAGGGTGCGAAGCATGCTGGGTGCTTCTTTAGCAACTTTGGAAAAACAAGATCAATGCAATGAGCCAGGCTGCACTTGTGACCTGCCTTTTGCCGTTTGGGTTATGGCAAGGGATGCATGAAATGCCGCGCCCCTGCCATATGGTTCTACGCTGCGATACTTCAATGGCCCAGCCTTGGAACTCGTGAGGCATAGGATATGCCACTGTGCCACAGGCAATTTGCCACTCTTGCCACTCTTGCCCTTGGAACAAGCGAAGGAAGGAGCAGAAGAAGGAAAGGCCCAACAGGAGCAAAGGAGAGTAGCTGCTGAGCGTGCAGGGCGCAAAGAAGAAAGCTACTGAGAGCGATGGGGAGCAACGTTGCAGCAACCTGGCTGGACTCTGCAAGCGGGCTTCTGCAAGGAAGGGGGCAGAAATTGAAGGTGCAGTGCATAATGTAGCAAGTGGACCGAGAAGACAGGGGAGAAAAACTCGGTCTGTGGACAAACCAGCAAAGAGAGCAGCTGTAGAAGCAAACTGTGAAAAAGCACATGATTTGCAAAGAGCAATACCAATTGGAGCAAAACAAAAGCGGCCATAGGGCCACGCGCAGGCAGTAACGAAAGGCCCAATTGGGTTGAGTGCGGCGGATGATGATGCAGCGCTTGTGTTCGAGGGTGCACTTTACAAGGGGGAGGAGGAGGAGGAGGAGGAGGAGGAGGAGGAGGAGGAGGAGGACCAAGAGGCGTTGCTTGATCATGTTGGTTGTGGCTGGCAGCATGATCATGCTTCGCCGTGCATGCTGGGGGAGAGACATTGCAAAGGTGTCACCTGGGAGCCCCGGACATATAGCAGCAGGCATCTAGTCGTGCTCGGAATTTGTGCAAATGAACGCAGCCAAAGCTTGGTCCAGGTTCACCTAGACTGCACGCAACCAGGAGGAGGCAGCAACAAACCGATGCATGCTAGGCTGCCACATGCACAAAAACTGCTCAAGTCAATACGGTGCTCTTGCGGCGAGGTGTCCATCAGGTCGATGGCTGAGGAAAGCGTGCGGAACCTTGGTGGCATCGATATGGCTTCGATGCTGTAGGAAGAAAACTTCCACCAATCCCACCACTGGCTGCACACCAAGTAGCCACACTTGCACATCGAACTTGCCCCTGTCGTTGCCGGCTTTCAAGGCCTGACGTGCGTGCTCTGCGCCCCCCTGGCCTCATTCCAGGGCCTGCAACCCTCATCTCAAATGTCGCACCCCATCCAAACGCGGCACAAGCTCTCACGCAAATGCCAACTGCCGCGTTTGCCGGCCTCGTGCATGACTTCCAAAGGTGTGCTCCGAGCAAAGCATCCCATAAGTTCTCGCCTGGCTGCCCACCAGTCAGCAGCTGTAGGTCTTGCTCAGGCATGCTTGCAGCACTGACAGGGACACACATGGGACTTGCGTTGCTCAAATGTCTGGGAGCCCTGCTCCAGCTGGGTCACCGCAGCCAGCATCTTGTGCAGCCTGGACAGGTGATGTAAACTCACGTGGAACACACGTGAACTGTGCGAGTAAAGCACACATGTGTGCACACGTGGAACACACATATGTGCACGCGTGAGCAAACATAAATGCTCACCTAAAGCGCACACACACACACACACATGTGCGCACCTCGAAAAGAATCATGCGTTTTCTGGAGCACATACATGTGCACACCTGGAGAGCAAATATGTCGTAAGATGAAAAAATGTTCACATAGCACATAGTCATGTGTTCACGTGGAACACACACCTGTCCACCTGGAACACAAACACGTGTCCAAGTGGCACGCGCATATGTGTACACGTGAACACACATATATGTGTACACGTGGGGGACACACATGTGCACACGTGAACACACACATGTGCAGAAGGGAACGCACACACACGTGTATTGCACACGTGAACACTCACATTTGCACGCAGAAACACAGACACACAAGAGTATTCATTTGATAACAAACACGTGTTCTCCTGGAACACAATGACGTGTCTAGTTGGAACACAGAAGTGTACACACGTCTGTGTACACGTGGGACACACATATGTGTACACGTGAACCCGGAACACACTCACGTGCGTTCATCTGATAACAATCATGCACTCACCTGAAACACAAACACGTGTCCAATTGAAACACACATGTGTGTACACGCGAACAAATGAACACACATACATGTGCAGGCGGAGTAGACCCACACACACACACACACACGCGTTCATCTGATAGCATACATGTGTAACTCTCCTGGAACACAAACACGTGTGCAGTTGGAACGCACATGTGTGCGCACGTGAACACACAAATGTGTACACGTGAAACACACATATGCGTACACGTGAACACACATACATTCATGCGGAGGAAACACGTGTTCATCTGATAACAAACATGTGTTCTCCTGGAACACATACACGTGCCCAGTTGGAACGCACATGTGTGCACTGTGTGCACACGTGAACACACAAATGCGTGCGCGTGGAACACTCATATGTGCACACGTGAGCACACATGCGTACACGTGGAACACACATATGTGCACATGCAAACACACACAAATACACACACCCGGAACACGCACACACAAACACACGCGTGTTCGTCTGATAACAAACATGTGTTCCTGGAACACGCACGCATGCGTACACCTGGAACACAAACGTATGTGTGTATGTCTGGAAAGATTGGAAAGCACATTTCTGTTCACCTGCAAATCACATTTGCGTTCACCTGGAACCCATACATGCGCTCACTTGGAACAGTCATTTGTGTTCACGCGCAACACTGGCGCAGACCTGGATCACACAAACATGTTTAACCGGAACAAACTTCTGCGCTGACTCGTAACACACATATGTGTACACATGGAACACACGTATGTGCACAAGTGGAGAAACATGTGCAACACACTTGCGCAGCACACATGCGTTCACCTGGACAACAAACATGTGTTCACATGGGGTTTGCATTCTCTGCACGCCTGTGCGACACAGAAAACAAGTTCCCGAAGCCGGCTGTGAGGCGCTATTCCACAGGGCTCTGCCTTGAACAACGCTTGTGTTTTATATGCATGTTCCAAGTAGGAAAAATGGTGTTCGTGTGCGGTCAATCTAGCAATTTTGCAACACGTTGCTAGCGCGCGAGCCTGCTGCTGCTGCTGCTACTACTGCTTCAGTGTCGGGTGCGTCTCCAGCATTTACAGGTTTCATCTTAGCAAAAGTTTTCCGGCGCATTGCGCTTCTTTCTCGCTTGGCTGCGCAGTGTCTTTCGTGTCGAGCAATCTGTCGCTCGATGCAACGCTCTAAAGTGCCTAATTATTTCGTGCTGTGGCAACTCTTCGTATCGATTCAGTAAAGCATTTGCTTTCGCAAGGAACTACACAACCCAATTACCCAATTCTTCCGTATGCTCGGTACAAGGCATTCCCGCCTTCTTGCCTCAGCCGTTTTGTCTCCCGTTTGTCCAGCAAACCGCATTGCGTGGGAATTGCGCACGGCTGCGCTAGCGCTTTGCTAGCGCGCGGAAAGAGCGGCTTCGCCGTACGGCGACCATCTGTGTGGATTTGACAAATTGAGGGCCACGTAAGATGAAGGTAAACGTGCGGGCTGGCTTCAAGTACTAAGTACCCTTGAAAGCCACACAAAGCCCATTGCAGCAACCCACACGCCATCCTAGCGCCTCCAGTGCAGAGCGGGCAATCCATTCGTATTTGCAGGACCCCGCTTTACTTTGTATGAATGAAAAACTGCACAAAGTGACTGCGACGGGGTCCTCTGTAAACTAAGCTCCCTTACTAAGAACTTTGACTGGATCACACACGTGTTTAATCAGAAAAACGCATGCTTTCACCTGGAACACAAACATGTGCTCACGTGGAACACATGCGGTCACATGCCAAAAAAGCGTGTTCACTTGGAACGCGCCGATGTGGTCAGGTGGAACACACCAAGAACACACAATCATTCAATTGAAGCACTCACGCATGCACCCGCAGCATGCTGCCTGTGGCTTGATCAAGCGCATGCTCAGACACGCGTTTCTGAGCCTCAAACACACATGCCTGACCGCGGAAGACAAAGGGAGACAAATGAATCCGTCCATCCAAAGAGCCGTGCCAGGCATCCAGGCTGGAAGACAACGGGAGACAAGTGAAGGGAAAAAGGAAGACAAATGAGAGCCGTGCCAGACATCCAGGCTGGGAGACAATGGAAGACAAATGAATTTGTCCAACCAGAAGCGAGACAAACGGAGACAAATGAAATTCGTCCACCCAGAGAGCCGTGCCAGGGTGGGAGACAACGGGAAACGAACAAGGGAGACAAATGAGACAACCCAGAAGCGAGACAAAGGGAGACGAATGAACCCGTCCACCCAGAGAGCCGTGCCAGGCATTCAGGCTGGGAGACAACGTGAGACATATGAAGGGAGACAAAGGGAGACAAACGAACCCGTCCACCCAGAGAGCCGTGCCAGGAATCCAGGATGAGAGACAACGGAAGACAACCCAGAGGCAAGACAAACGGAGACAAATGACAAATGAAGGGAGACAAAGGGAGACAAGTCAACCCGTCCACCCAGAGAGCCGTGCCAGGCATCCAGGCTAGGAGACGACGGGAGACAAATGAAGGGAGACAAAGGGAGACAAATGAAACACGGGCGCCGTGCCAGGCATGTGCGCACGCGCGCGCGCGTGGACAAATGAAGGACAAATGCAGGGAGACAAAAGGAGACAAATGAACCCGTCCACCCAGAGAGCCGCGCCAGGCATCCAGACTGGGAAACAATGAATGAAGCACCCGGAGAGCCGTGCCAGGCATTCAGGCTGGCAAACAACGGGAGACAAATCAAAGGAGACAAAGGGAGACAAGCGAACCCGTCCAGCCAGAGAGCCTTGCCAGGCATCCAGGCTTGGAGACAACGGGAGACAAATGAAGGGAGACAAAGGGAGACAAATGAACCCGTGCACCCAGAGAGCCGTGCCAGGCATCCAGGCTGGGAGACAACGGGGGGCAAATGAAGGGAGAGAAAGGGAGACAAATGAAGCGAGACAAAGGGAGACAAATGAACCCGTCCACCCAGAGAGCCGTGCCAGGCATTAAGGCCATGGCTCGGCAATAGGCAAGACTTTAAATGAATTTAGAAAGTCCGAGCACCCTGCGCTGCGGCTGTGAGGGCACCGGGATGCTCCGCACTGGTGGGCCCGGCCTCAGGCAAACGTGGAGCCTTTGCTCGGTTTGCACGCGATGCCACATCCATCCCCTGAACCATCTGTCACATCCTGAGGAACATTTGGGACGGCGCCTGCTCAGTACATAAGACTCGGCGAAGCATTCGATCCTGCATCGATGCTCATCTGCTCTACGCTCTGAGTACTTAATTCGTGCATATGGCCAGTCCTTGTGCTCGATTACTTCGTTCAAACGCCTGGCCAAGTCCAAGCGATGAAACACCTTCCCTGCCGGATCTAAGGCCAATGTTCCCTTAGGTCACATGGCCTACGCGTGCGAAACGAGCTCCTGCCAGCAGCTTGCAACGTTCACAAGCAATGCCACATTGTAATGCAATGCGAGAAATGCTTCATGCTATGCCGCAAAATTCACACGTGGTTACAATGCTTGCAACGCCGAAATTCATGTCATGGCATGCTGCATCAAGGCCCACTCCTCACCAGCTCTGGAGCATGCCTAGGCGGATATCCAAAGCAATTCTGTGGACCGCACGGTGAGAGTGGCGTTGGACAATGAAATCCGCCCATTGACTTTATCCAAAGAGCTGGCCACCGGCACAAACAAAAGCGCGCAAACGGCCAAGGGCTTCCTCGGGTTGCGTTCAGCATGTGCAAAGCAACAGTCAGTCCACTTCAGCCGTCCTTGCAGTCAGCATACTGACTGAAAAGTGACATCAGCCACTCACCTCGCACACCACGAGATGGCAGCAACACATGCTAGAAGAAAAGCTCGCATTGTTTTGCAGAGCTTGCACTTGTCCCATGCATCCTTCCGCCCATCCACATCGCAATGATAGTCATGTTAATTCGGCAGGGGTTGATTTGGCAACATGTGTCGCCAGCCTCTCGTCTGGTGGCCATCTTGCCAAATTGCGCTGTCAACCTCAGATGCTGCGGTTTTCTAGAAAGTGATTGGCTGGCTGTCCTTCGCCTTCATGCAACTACAAGTGAAACTTTCAGCAAGTTGCAGGCCCATCGTAGGCATTGCTCCACACCTGCGCATTCGGCAAACTGCACACGCGCTGAGCGGTCAGCAAGTATTGCAGCTCCAAAACTTTGAGCGCACGCTGTACCACTTGAATTCAGTGACGAAGCACACCAGTCCTGAAAGTGCCCACCCTCCGAAGAGGATGCCAAGAGCTCGCCCAGTGCATGCATACATGCCTAGGCTAGGCTTCCACCCACCACATACAATGATAAGGTGGATGAGAATTCCTGCACCAACTTCGCAACATCGCTTTGCTCACCTTCGCGCTTGCTGAATAGTGGGGGGGTGTATACATGTTGAAGGAAGGGAGTTGACACCCCCTACAGCTCCTCAAAGCAGTATTGAACAACAGCATACCGACCACACGGCCCGCCAGCATGTCGGAACTTGCAAGTGCACAGCGCAATTGCCACCAAGGCTCATCAATCAGGACATCAACCCTGACGTTGAATTTGTCCTCAGTCATTCATCCTTCTTCTCTTCAAGCAATTTCACTGATTCATGATCCACGGAAGTTGATGAGCAAAACACATCCTTCGGGCATCCACCTCAGTCTGAGGCCAGCAAGGATGCTCGGCGCATCCAGCGGTGCGGCCCGTCAATGCCAGTGCCAGCATTCGCCTTACAGTCCCACACGCAGACACCAAGCAGAACCCCAACATGCCAGCATGCAATTGGGCTTATAACGAACCGGAGAATGGGGTAAGAGCGTGGCTGACTCTCTCTTTTTCTCTCTCTCTCTCTCTCTCTCTGTCTCTCTCTTCTCTTTGGGCAAGGTTTTTGCAAGCAAGCTATCCCTGAGTGTTGCCAAAATCTATTTCGCCCCTACCCCAGGCCCTGCTTGTTCGTTTCTCTGAAGGTCCGAGCTGATTCGAGCTGAGCGACCTCTTCTTCAATGTGGCAATCAAGCCTGCATTGCCAATCTGCAATGTGTGAGATACACTTTCCTGCTCAACAGGCGCTCCACGATAGCACCAGCTTCCGAATACTGTCAGCAGAACTTCAACTGACTGGGGTCCCAACAATGCACGGTCATAGCCTTGCGAGGACCGACAAAGTGAACGTGAATGCTGCTTTCAAAGTCTCACCGCCACAACTTGCAACACTGCCTTCAAATCTGAAGGCAAGGTCTATCCTTGCTCTTGCTCTGGGGTCGGGAGCCAGCAACCAACATGCGCACATCAAAGCATCGCCAAGTAGGCGCGACTCCTACCTGTGGTGACTCCACACGCGCTGTTAAACATAGGGGTGAATGCTCCACTACAGGCAAAAACGACAAACCTGACCAAACATGCCCCAGCCAGCTCAAAAGATGCCATAGGCTCACAATAGGCTCACCTTGACTCAACTGCAAGCAACCAACTGACGCCCTTTCTTACCCATGTCTGCCCCCTCCCAAGCCATCCCACCCCCTCGATGGCGAGGTGCTGAGCCACAGCGGCGTGTGCTTCAGCTCCTCGGCCATGGCTCCGGCAGCGCCGGCGTCCAGCCCCAGCACGCGGAGGAGGTGATCCGCCTCATCATCGCCTCGTCGCGGACCCCAAACTAGAAAACCTAACCAGCATTCATCAAAAAACCATTATTGACTTACATATTCGGCCTCGTATTAGAGTAGGTTGGTTGCAATGCGCCACAACTTCCTCACCAGCTTCCATTTTACAGCCTTCCCCAGCCACATTTCTGCACATCCCTACCGCAGACCACATGCCTTAAAAGCGTGCGCACATGGACCACGGTGAACTCCAAAAAGGGGGGAGGGGGGGAAGGCTTCAATCATTGATGGAAAAACAAAAACAGCACCAGGGAAGGCTTACCTTTTTCCTTTTTTGTAGCCATTTTCAGGCGTCCCCCCCCCTTTTCCGGCAGGAATGGATTTTGCACATGGAAATATTATGACAAGCTTGACAGGCTATAGCTTCAGGCAAAGCTTGGTCATTCCGTGTGGCATGAGGTACTGGTGACGTGGAGGTGGGTAGGGTTGCAAGTCGAAAGAGGCTTCTTGCCCCCGAGGCCCAAGCTGCTTCTTCATCCAAGTCACTCTTCAGCAGCTTGTCTGTGGCAGCGCGTGCATCGCGCAATCCTTTGCCGGCCCGCTCGCCTGCAGTTTCGCCACTCGCAGCCCTTTTGCAGCACAGCCTGCTACAGCATCTTCCAGCCTTCAGAACCCTTCAATGCCAATGCCAGTGCTGAGTGCCCTCGTTCCCGTTGTAGCGCATGAACAGTTGCCAAGCATCGCATCACACATGATGTTGCTGCCTGAGCGCCGTTTCCCATCGCAGGAACAAGTCTAATGACGCCTTGGCTGGTGGATTGGGGAGCTGTCCAGTTGTCAAATGAGATGTGTTCAGCCAGCAGTCACCAAAAGAAGTGCGACGCATTCCGCAACTTGAGCTTGATGAGCTGAACCCTTGAGAAGAATCTGCAATCCCTGCGATCTTTTGGAGCGTGTGTCTCTTGTCTGGGTGTATCTTGCCCGGCCTCGCGCATGCGCTGCTTGGAGGGCGGCCGGGAAACCGACCGCGCTGTCCTCTTGACCCTCGGGCTCCTGCGCTGAGGTATCCAAGAGCTTGGAGTTCGGCAAGCAAGAATCATAAGGCGCGCCTTGATGGGGCACGAGTGCCAAGGTGCCGGCGCGAATCGCCCCCGCTCTGCAGCTTCTCGTTTTGCGTCGAAGCAGTGGACGTGCTGGTCTCCTGACGCTGGAGCGGCTCTAGATCAATCAGTGGCTTCAAACATCCTGCCTTCCGGCCCAACACAATGATTGTTTGTATGCACGTCTCCTCCAACACCTCCAGCTCCAAAGCGCTTGGTCTAGTATGGTTCTCTTCATCTTCCTCATCCTCATCCTTCAGTAAGTCTAACTCATCTTGGAGTTCCAGGTCGTCTTCGAGTTGGTCCATGAAGACCTGAGATGGCCAAACCTGGCATGCCACGGCTAGTCATGGCTGTACAGCTATAAGCAACGCTGAGCGTGCAACAACACACCAAAGTGCGAGAATTTGGCAATTTGGGTCTGACAGGCAAACAGTTGCACACATGGCATGCATCCTCTACACATCCTTTAAGGCATGGACGCCTAGAGGAGAAGGAGGTGGTGACAAGCGTGTTGCAGGAGCGTCCCCGCTGCGAACGAGCTGGGCTAGAAGAGCGGGGCGCTCGTCCAAATAAGCCTGAATGATACGATGCTCATGGCACCCGAAGTGCGAAGCGCATGGCTTTGTCCATGCGTTGCATCCAAGACGCGGCTACCTTTTGGGGTAGAAATGCTCGCCAACTTGCGGGTGAATTCCGAACCAGGGTGGAAGAGTAGTGCGGCAGCTCGCCATAAATGAAGTCCACATGCACCCTGAGATGTTCCGCGTGCCAAAGGTCCCATCCACATTAAACATCAAACAGCACTGTGGATGGGCGAGCATCTTTGAGGTGCCACTAACTCCAAGCTGAGTTTCTGGTGCTCGGCAACCAGGGCCCTGACCTTGTCACCTGAGAAAGCTGATGGGGCTGGAGATCCCCATTCTCGCCACTAAGCTTCATCAAGCAGAAACTAGCTGACATGATTCTCGGCAGCCAGTGCTTTCCAGGAGCTGTCAACTGGCGCTTTGTAGAAGCGATCAGCTTGATTGTCTGGAGCCTTGTGAAGTCTGCGCTGAACAATAAGGCCATCCAGCTCGGCAAGCATGGCTTGACCTTTCTCGTTGGAGATCCAATCAAACCTGGACAGGTGACCAGCTATGAGTAAATTCCAAGTCATGATGCGCCCTGCCAAACACAAAGCCGTTGGAGTTCTGACTGTAAAGGCATGCTGCTCAAATGCGCTGACCCCTGAAAGTTGCACGTCGAGTTGCACGTCATCCCCGCACACCCATAGCAGCCGGCTGCCCTTCGGATATTTGTCCCGTAATGCCCGCAGCATAACTGCCTTAGCACTAGAGCAACATACCACAGGCACATGCCATGTGCCAGGCATGTTTGGGCTCACAAGCATTCGCAAGCTCAGCAGCCAGCGTTTGATTCGCCTGTCTCTTTTTCCACGGCACTGACGCCTGGTGCGGTTGCAGAACTGATCACATGGTCTGCATGCTTTGACTGGGCTTTATATAATGCACTGAACAATGGTGCCTATGCCACTTGCAGATACCGCGAGCTCGCACATGGCGGCCCTATCTTCAAAGGGAAGCAAGTCCTTCTTCACGGGGTGCTTGAACACAGGTACCTGTAAGCCGGGGCTGTCAATCGCATCTCGTCAAAATCCGGGAATATTACGACCAAGCCGCAAGTACCACTTCATCCACAGGTTTGGTCTCTCGCACAGTGATGGCCTGACAACATCCACGGCAACCCGGTGACGCTCAGGCATTGCTGAGCGCTGGTCGAGCAAAGCGTGGCCCAAATGAATTG